CAATTCTGGCTGGCTTGAATATACAGCTTTTGAGGTCTCCAGGCAATCGTGTGTGAGTTCTTCAGGGCTCTTATGACTGAGGAAAGAAGCTGGATTGACAACATTAGTGGTGACAATGTCCACTTCATCCCTTTTAGCAGGATGGCTTGCTGTTTCAGAAACCTCAAAGGGAATAGCCACTGTTCCCCTATTAGTTCCAGGACAACTGATACTGCGTGTGTCACCATCACAGTAATCCTTTGTCCCAAGGTGAATTTCCAGGCTTCCTGTATGTTCAGAACAACTGCTGCTACTGCCCGTAGGCAGCCTGGCCATCCTGTGCTTACTTTGTCTAGTTGTTTCCAGAAGTAAGCCGCAGCTCTCTTATAGGGTCCCAATCTTTGTGCCCACACACCCAAAGCAATCCCTTGTCTCTCATGTGAGAACAGCCAAAAGGGTTTAAAGACATCCGGGAGCTCCAAAGCTGGAGCTCTCATCAATTCTCTTTTCAATTTCTCTAAGGCCACCTTGGCCTCTCCGTTCCAGAGAAGAACCATCTCAGATTCCTTAAGAAGTCTGTGCAGGGATTTTATCCCCAGTCCCCATCCGTACATCCACAATCTGCTCCATCCTGCCCTTCCCAAAAAGGTCACGGTTGTTGGCAGGGGAGTCTGACCGACTTCTTCTTTGCAATCAGTCCTCAAATCTCTCAGCCCACTGGATATTTCGTATCCCACACATGTGACCTTTTGAGCTTTTCACTGAGATACTCAATATTCGTTCAATCCTAAGAAAAATTCGAGACTCGCAGTCCATGCTATGCAATCTTCTTCAGTCTCGGTGGCTATCGGCACATCATCAACATATTGGAATAAGGTTCCCTCTGACCTTGGCATCTGCCAGGATTCCACAGAATCACAGAATCACAGAATGTTTGGGGTTGGAAGGGACCTCTGAAGATCATCTAGTCCAACCTTCATCCCAGCACACCTAACCACTACACCATAGCCTCAAGTGCTAGATCTACTTTTTTTTTTAAACACCTCCAGGGTTGGTGATTCCATCACCTCCCTGGGCAGCCTACATCTTTAGCTAATTGATTTCCAAAACTCGTGGGGCTGTTTTTGCACCCTTCTGGTAACACTGTCCAAGTCAAGTGAGCTTTCCTCCCTGTTTCTGGGTTTTCCCATTTAAAGGCAGATAATTTTTGGCTTTTGGGTGCCAGAGGCAGAAGAAAAAGGCATCCTTTAGATCCAATGCTGTAAACCAAATCTGTGTTTCTTTTACTTTTAACTTTGTTAAGAGAGTATATGGGTTTGTTACAACTGGATAAATGTCCCCCCCACAATTTTATTAATTGCTCTTAAGTCTTGGAATAATGGATAACTTCCATCAGGTTTCTTAACCGGTAAAATGAGGGTTAGATCCACACTCAACCAGCAACTCATATTTCAAAAAACCTGTCTATTATTGATTTAATTCCTTGTCCATCTTCCTTCTCTCATGGGTGTTCCCTAACTTTAGCTGGGACAATCCCTTCGAGTGGGGTCACCACTACTGGGTGTTCTTCCAGGCACCTCCGTGGCCCAGACTCCTGGATATACTCGATTCAAAGCTTCTTGTCTAGGATTCTTAGGAACATCCAGAGTTTGGGTCAAGGATAAACTCAATACCTCAATTAGTTCTCGTTCTCCTACTCTAAATTCCACTTGCCCCCCTTCCCCCATATAGTATCAGCCTTCAAAAATCTGGAAGAATTTGGCAAATACAAAACTTTGATATCCCATTTGTTTTCCTAATTGGATCTTAATTGGTTTTAAAAATTCTGCCTTTTTCTGTTGGCCAGTCGCTCCTACTACCTTTACAAATTCCGTATTCACGGGTATTGATTCCTGATGTGAGACAAAGTATGAGGCACACTTATCCACTAAAAATTCTGCCTCCTCACCCTGTTTCTATAATCCTTACATCCTATCTTAATCAACTGAGATACTGTCATTCCAGACACTCCGTAACCTTCGCTACCCATCCAGGGTCATTCCTATATATGCTTGCTATAACCTTTCAAGCCTTTAAATCTGATATCGAAACCAGCACCTCTACCCAAACCGGTCCCAAACCCTTCTACCGCCTGTCTGAGAGGGATTGTCAACTTTCCCTTCACCAGGACTATCTGTCCTCCGTTCTCTCTGTCCTCCGCTTGCCCCCACTTCCGCCCTGTGCAGCCACTTCTCTCCTTACTCTGAATGGACATATCCACATCCTCTTCTCCTTCCTCACATTCCTCTGTACGTTTATTGTGTTGCCGACCGATGCTACACACCAAACAACACGATCCTGAATCATGAACCTGCAGTCCTTCCTGGATCCATAATAATTTCTGAGCTGTGGGAGTTCCCACTGTTCCCGAGCCATTCCTTTGAACTTCATTTAACAAGGAACGACTGTCCTCCTGCACAGGAGTAGGGCAGTCTTCATTGCTTCCGGGGGGGAGAGATAATCCTCCAGCCTCTCTTCTCACTCCCTCTCCCTAAGGGGTTTCAAACATCTTTGACCAATGCTACAGGCTCTGCCCCCTTTTGCCTTTTTCTAAAGCTAAAACTAAAGGATCCAGTGGTGGGAAGTTAACTCCACAGTCCCTCTGCCACTCCAGGTGGTTCCTTAGAGTGAAAGATATATCGACGTACATAACTTCAGCCCATTTACCTTCCTGCTTTAAAAATAACTTTAATTGTTACATGGTGTTATACTGTAAAGTTCCATTAAATGGCCATTGGGACCACCACTGAAATTAGTGCAGTATTTTATGTTTGTTCTTTTTTTTTTTTCTATTTCTTTCCCCCATTTCTTATTTCTGTTTTTCACTTTTGTTTCGTTCTTCCCTGACCGTTTTCCTCATGGAAAGATGGAACTGCAGATCCAAACTCTGCACTCACTTCGTACCTAGGGTACATCTCCTTCCCACACTTGCACACACTTTCATACAAAAGGGATTCCCTGACACAAAATACACAGAATACACAAACAACACACAATACAGAAAGACAGCAATACAAACCAAAGTCAAAACAGGGCTATAGATAATTTGTCGCCCTAATAACGGAAATCTCCAAAAAGGATCGAACCAAAACCCTGCCAACCAAACTAACTGGGTGCTAGCACTCCCAACTAGGCTTATCCTACAAGAGTTGCGACCTTACGAGTTACGGATCGCTAAACAAATGACTGCTCCCAAACCAAACCAAAAGCAAAACAAAAACCAGATAAAGAATACCTTATTGACAGAGCTGGTCCTTGTCTGTCCCTGCAGCAATCCAGCTGAGGTGAGGAGTCCCTCCGGAGAACCCTCCGGGGGTGCCCAAGGGAGTCCCGGTCTCAACGGGTCCTGCAACCAGACAGAGAGGGTCCCACCTGGGTTGTCAAATAGATTCAAAGAATCAAGAATTCAGACTCAATAGCCAATGAGAGTATTAAGCAGCGATTCTTTACTGGGGTGCCGGGAGACACACAGGGATGTTTCCACAGTGTGTGCTACCCCTGCGTTTTCTGTGTTCCAGGTCTGTGCAGTCACTACAGACACATTTACTACATTTCCACAAAATAATTATTGTATCTCCTCCTCTGTCCCCACACCCTCCTCCAGCCTCTCCTCTCTCCCTGCTCCAGCAAGCTGGTGTATTCAGTGCTGGTGATGCTGCTCCTCGCCTCCATCACCTTCCTCCCAGGGCTGGGGCAGCTGAAGGCATCCAGAGGAAGGAGACAGGGTAATAAGACAAAGTAATTCTTTGCTGCTTTGTTGTGAGAAGTTCAGTTCTTCTGTGTTCTCCTCTCCAAGTACGGAAAGCAAAGATCCTCATCTCCAACTCCAAATGAGCCCTGTGCTAAACAAGATTATGTTTTTTCTACCCTTAGTAAGTTTGCAGATGACACCAAGCTGGGAGGGGAGTGTCGATCTGCTGGAGAGTAGGAGGGCACTGCAGAGGGACCTGGACAGGCTGGGAGTGCTGGGTGACAACCGGTTGAACATGAGCCAGCAGCGTGCCCAGGTGGCCCGGAAGGCTGGGGCAGCTGAAGGCATCCAGGGTCGGGGGGAGGGCACACACACACTCGGGGAGAGGGTCCCCAGGGGCACCCTGACACATCCCAGTGGGTGCGAAGTCCATCCATCCATCCTTCCAGCTCACCACGAAGAAGTATCTCACATCCCTCCTCAACAACCGCACGTGTGGGGTGCTGGTTGCCAACACTTCTTCGGCAGGCGACCCTCCCCAGCACAGAAGCACAGATCCCTAGGGGCTCTGGCAGGATTGGGACTACCCCAATGCCACCATCTTCAGTACCTTGGCCTTCTTCATCACGATGAAGGTAGTCACCCCCCCCTCCAAATCACTCTGTGCCCCCTCAAGGTGGTGTCCCCATGGGGAT